CCCCCCCCTCCCCCAGCAGCCCTGGTTCACTAAAAGCCTGACCCTGGCGGTCCCTCCCAGGAATGGCCATTGGTTTGGAATATTGGGACTGAGCTCTTGGAAATGGCACCATTGAGGGCCCAGAGGGAGGCTGGAGGGCGAGGGGGCAGCGCCGCAAAATGTCTGTTCCCCAACATTTGCAAAGAGCACCCGGCCGGGGTCCAGGTGGCAGGAGGACGAGGCTGGGCTAAACCACACCTGGGATTACCTGGCGACACAGCTCAGGAAGGACGCTCCCGCTGGAAAGCCAGCATGCTGTCCTCTTACACATTCCTGCGCTAACTCTGGGGCTCTGGGGAAAGAAGAGATAGGACAGGACCATCATTGTTTCCAAGCCTGCTGACTCAAAACCGTCTTGCCAGAGGGCTTCTTGGAATGCTTAAGTAACTTTCTCCTAATGGTACTCGCTAGGTGTAGATACTTCAAAGCAAGGGAAAGAATCTTCGTGCTGGAACACACGTGCGCCTTTGAGATGGCGCTTACAAATGAGCAAACAAACCCGCCAGAAAGGAAACAAGGCTTAGGGGTTTTGACACACATCTTGCTGGTGGCAGGCCCAAGCAGGGGCTCCCATCTTTTGATTAACACGATTGCCCTTAGGATTAATATTTCCCAAGGCCTGTGGTGCCAAGGAGTTGGATTTTAATGGAGAGTCACGTCAAGCATTTTATGTGCCTCTTGAAGTTACGAAGGAAGAGGAGCACCAGAAAGGAAATTAAGAAGTAAAATACAGTGTGGTTTTCCTTTGATGATCCTTTGCTAAGAGAGCTTTGGGTTTTAGAAAGAAGTGTGTGGAGTAACTGGCCAATCGAAGAGAAGTTCTTCACTTGTTAGTGACTTTGCGACCAGACTGTGAGTTCCTTTAGGGCAGAGACGGGGTCTTAGTTTTCCCTGTATCCCTAGAATTTGACACACGGTAGTTTTCTGCCAAGAGAAGTTATTTTGAATCGAATAATGCCAAATTGGAATAAGTCCTAGATTATGGCGAAATAAAAGAATTTGGCAAACTCGTCACAGTGAAGGTTATCACTTTCAGACAAAATGTTTCAGCCCGTGGAGAAAAGCACAGAGTTGACCACGGTTGCTGTTACTGGTGAAGGGCTAGCATGAGGCAGAACCAACACATGACCAGACATATCTATCCTGGACATACCGGACCAACACATGCTAACATTTCTATTTGTGGCCCATCCTGGGTGTGTTGAGTGTTTTAATTTTGCCAAGTTTGTAAAACTCAAGGTAAAGGTGGCATCAACCTTCAGGAATGGGGATGGTTCTACCGACCCAATATCACAATGCTTGTGTTTTGAATATTTTTAAAAATCTGAGGTGAGTATGTTAATCCAAATTCCAGCCGGCTCTCCCTATGAGTATAAACAGTGAAAACAGAGCTATTGGCCCAAACCCAAGGCGTATTCCAAAGACTACAGAGTGTCTAAGTAGGAAGACAAAGTTCGGATTCTTCCACTTTTACTGGTTCAGTAACTTTGGGCAACTGACTTATTTCTGAGGGCACAGAAGGGGAAGACAACCCAGACCCGATCAAGTCCACTGTTGTATGTCCTACTAGCACACTGGATTTCATCATCTTAAAATTCATCATAATTTTTTTATTTTATTTTAATTTTTTAATGTTTATTTGAGAGAGAAGGAGAGACAGAAACCGGGCATGACCAGGGGAGGGGCAGAGAGAGAGGGAGACAGAATCTGAAACAGGTTCCAGGCTCTGAGCTGTCAGCACAGCCCAGTGCAGGGCTCAAACCCACCAACCATGAGATCATGACCTGAGCCAAAGTCAGACACTTA